AACGACGGCGGAAATGTCGTTAATCCATTCATGCGCGTCACTCATTAGATGACAAGGGATTTGGCTATCTTAAGAGTGTCATATTTACGCCCGCCGTTTATCCACGCTTGGTTGAATCTCTTACGCCCGCCGTTTATCTAAGCTTGGTTGAATCTCTTCACAATGATATTCACACAAATACACACACACACACACAGAGAGAGAGAGAGAGAGAGAGAGAGAGAGTGTGAGAGAGAGAGAGAGAGAGAGAGAGAGAGAGAGAGAGAGAGAGAGAGGATGAGCAATGCACCAGCCAACAGGTAAGTCTCCAACGCCGTGGCTGGCCTCATGCTACTTCCATCGATAGGAAGAGCAAAATCGAATGAACCTTCCGCCCGAACATGGAAATCTACACTCCTACACATGTATGTGTGTGTGTGTGTGTGTGTGTGTGTGTGTGTGTGTGTATGTGTGTGTGTGTGTGTGTTTGTGTGCGTGCATGTGTGCGTGAGTGTGTACGTGTGTGAGAGAGACACAGAGAAAGAGAGAGAGAGAGAGAGAGAGAGAGAGAGAGAGAGAGAGACAGAGAGAGAGAGAGTTTTCCAGCCATGCATGCTATGAACTTGTATTCAAACGGTACGAATGGAAGTGGCCTTGCACTCCCACGTGCGCGGAAGAAATGAAAGCGCTGCGCACGAATGGAAACAAGGCGCCACCGTGGCCTTGAACTCCCACGGGCGCAAAAGAAACGTAAAAAGCACCGCCACGGCCTTGACCTCCCACGAGCGGGAATGAAACTACGACACGCGTGAGCCTTCGAAGTTACGTCAGGACGGCGAAAAGAAAACAACAATTTCAGCGGATTTCCCTTGGGCCCTCACACCTTGTCCCTCACTGTTTCCCAACACGGGGAGCTCGGGCGTGCAGGAGCGTTCAGCGAGAGCCGCTGTTCCCTTTGTAAAGAGTGTATATATAGATATAGATAATGACCAAAGAATACGGAGGATAAAAACCTGCTCTTCGCTGTGGAAGTGGACAAGGTTGCTCTGCGCTATATGGACCCTCACAATTGAAAGGATTAGGAAGCAACCATGACGATTGTGAGAATCAGAGTGCTTGAGAACTTGCATTTGCTGTCATCAGTTCTCTTTTCTCCATCGTGCTAAGCTCTTCTATACAGTGCCTGGATCTGAATTACCATTTCCATTCGCCTTTTGAAAGTTGAACCTTGGAAGAGAAAGTGTTATCCTGATATTTGACCGACTGTTGGTCAAATTTTCAAGGAAATATTAAGAGGGGCGTGGCAGAATTCTATTCCGATATTAACCGGATTGGGAGATCATCTGAAATGGAAGTATTAAGTCTTGGGGTCTTGGAAGGGCTATCGGTTCGACCCGCAACGAGGATGATTGTCTGAGTGAACTTTACGTGTAGGGGGTTAAACAAAGAAGGTGTGCTGTCCACTTGCGGCAAGTCTCGTCAGTTAGTGTAGATAAACCGCCTTGTGCTGTTTGATTAAGATCAGAAATGTGCGTGGTCGGGTTTGAATCGTGTACCTGTTTGTTTGTTTGTTTGTTTGTTTGTTTGTTTGTTTTTTTGTACCTGTTTTTCAAACATCGAGTTATGTAAGGCCTTGAACCCACACCGTGGTATTTCGCAGACTGTGTTGGTAAAGGCCTCGAATTTGTTCTTATCAGATTTGCAGTGTCCTTCTGAGGATTTTGATCATAGGACCTGGCGTGGCGGCCCCAGCTTCTTCTCGGATGTCCAAACGTTGAGTTGCCAAAGGCCTCGAACCGGGGACGCAGAATCTCAAAGACTGTTGGTACAATCAACTTGGACTTCTTCAGCTTTTGTGGTGAAGTCGTCAGATCCTGGTGCCGCCCGTTTCTTCTTGGTCATGCTTAGACAGTGCTCTGTCCGGACTTCTGGTTCCTAGGTCCGCTAACGCAAAACATATAATCCCAGCATCGACAAAAGACCCCTGCTGAGGAGTGCTGGGTGGCAATATGGTCAAAGGACAACAGCACATAAACAATTGGGTAAGTACACGACTCATAGAGAGGAAGATAAGAGGAGGGAGGAGAGGATACAAGAGAGTCGAAGCACAAATCCCGATTACCAAACGCGACCAATCGGCCGTAAGCATAAGCATTAAACCATCGCCGACATAAACATGAATGACAAGCATGAAACATTGAAAAGTGCATGGCACAGCGACCCGACGCTGTGTTTCGATCGGCCACCAAAACCGGTCCTCATCAGGGGTCTTTGGCTGGATGGCGGCCAGCCAAAACCGCCCACGCTGTGCACCATATCTGCTGAGAGTCATGAGTTACATTCTTGACAGCAAGTCGCGTTCGAGATACTATCATTTGATCTTGTTGTTTCGACTCTCTTCTTCTTCTCATCCATCGTCATCTTCTTCCTCTTCCTCTTCTTTTTCCTCTCCTCTCCTCTCCTCTTCCTCTTCATCATCTCCAACTGAACTGGTATGGTGACTTTCACATGTGTATGAATGCCTTTCGAATCCTGCCATTGACAACAACAACATGCTGGTGGATCTCCAGTGGTGTAAACAGAAATCAAGGAATGATGCCAGCAACTTTTGGAGGGTGTGGTCCTTTTTCATCTGTTGCTGCCTCCCTTCCTCTAGTCTGAACATTGCTCTGTACTTGCCGGTGATAAGCAACCAGACTGTCGCCCCCCCGAATAGATGGGGCCTTGTGTTGGAAAAAAGAAAAGGGAGATGTACTCCAAGACAAGACAACCTCAAAACTGAGCCTCTTGTTCATTTCCGCCATAATAACAAATACCTGGTTCAGAACTGATCCAGGAATGAAGCCAATCCCAAGCCCACCGGGAGACCAGTAACCTCTCCAGAAGGCAGAAAATTTTCGCATATATGTTGCAGCTGGTCAACTGGTCAATGTGCAACAGCGCTCATGAAGGGATAGGTTCCATAACTCAAGTAATCAGGAGCGATCTGCTCCACTTCAGGAAGAAACTCTGGAACATGGTTCTTCCCAAACTTTCCGTGTCAGTCAGCGGGTCTACAGTCACATGGGGCTTTTCACAATGAAAGCCACGAAATACAACGCAACCTACAAATTACAACAAAGTTGACACTTCCCCGCTCCTCACTGAAAACCCCTCCTCCGTACAAGGCCGTGAGAAATATACAGTGCTGGAATCACAATGTGGCCATAGCTTCTGTACCTGCATATTTGTCTCTTTGTTCATCCACCTCCTCTCTCTCTCTCTCTCTCTCTCTCTCTCTCTCTCATGCACGTGCACCGTCATTTCAGCTAACAGTCTTTTCTTTCTAACTAGTTCAAGATTTCTATTTATTTGAAGGTTGCAAGGCAAACTAAATTTAATTTATTGCAATGTTATTGGCAGTCGCAATATCACGGGAGGCATATGAAAGATGGCTTGCTACATTGACAGTAGCCATGATTTAGCACCTCCGTCCTTGTGTCACATTCATGTAACGCATGCAATACCCTGCAGGCATTATCCGTCCAAACGTAGAAACGAGCCGTGCCGACATTAATGGATCGAAACCATAGCACACCAAAGTAGGAACGTATTATTTTCTAGGTTGAAGACAGCAGCCTTCGTCGTATTGTGGCTGTGTTGATTCCAGACTGAATCCTGCAACCACAACAAGCAGTATTCACCCGCACGATCGCATAAATTAGTTCAAGTATTCGCAATCAGCTGACAGGCACAATCACATAAATTAGTTAAGTATTGCCAAAATCAGATGACAGGCAGGGTAGGTGGCGTTGATCAGTTGAATCGTCCTGATTCCGTCAACTGACCCTGAGTCTTGCTGCTTTGGATGCAAGGAAGGCACAACCTTGTTATCATAGTAGTTCCTTTCGGTTTCGGAAAAAATGGAATGCTAGCGGCTTCGCTCCTTTGTGGTAAAAAATCTCCAAACACACTCCAGTCCCGCAAGTCCTTTGTAGCCCAGCTCACATTCAGTCTTATTAAAGCCACAATACGGTCTATAGTACTCTAATACACCAGTGAATAGCACTGGTTGGCATTGAACTAATCAAATGTCAAATTTCGCTTCTCTACACTCAAAAAAAGCATGACTGTGCTATTACTGTTTCGTCAGACTTTCACCAGGTCATAAGGAGGTTGAACCCCGACAGTCTGCCCTGGTCGCATTTCACTGATGGAGACGGACTCACCACATCGCCCAGAGTTAGCGATACCCCTGAGAAAAAAGGTCGACTTCACTCACACAAACCTTGCAATCCTAGCAGACTTGTCAAGGGTCCAAACCCCTGACAAGAACGGCAGAAAGTCTCAGAAACTAATCTGACGCGGTCATAAAACCCACTCTACACACCCACTGAGCCATGAACACCCAATGGCATGACTGCTAGCACGCTGTGTGTATGGGGGCCGTAGGGGGGCAGGGGGGGCGGAGGTGAGGGGGTGTAAAGGGGTTGTCGTTGTGACATTCTGTGCGAGTGTGTAACTCTGTGTGGGTGTGCGCATGTGTGCGGGGGGGGCAGGGGAGAGGAAAGTCAAACTTAGGGTCTCTGAGGTCAAAAGAACCCCCCCCAGCAAAGATTGCCTCCCTGATGAGGGATTTACAGTTGAGCGTCCCAATACAAAAGATAACTCCCAGAGTACAATAATAATGAGCGCACCAAACATGGTTTCATAAAGGGGAAGACTATTAGCAGGGTTGATGGGCATATTACCTGTACAAAACTTCCCCTGTCATCGCTGTCTTTGAGCTGATCCAGTCCGATGCATAATCGAGTAGGTACTCCAGTTGCAAATCTATCTCATCTGCAGGCGGTCACATTGGAGGAAAAACACAGTCGCCCATTTGTTCACACCAACGATGCCAGTGAGCATATGGGACAAAACGTAGCGGACAAAAGCACGATATGCAGCCATGCCAACGCAGCGGCAAGAGCAATATCAGAAAATACTGATATATGCAATATGACCAAAGTGGGAAGGAAGGAAAAACAGCCATATAACCAAAATTGTCAAAACAAGACAGTGCACTGTGCATTCCTCCAACCAGGCAATCCACCAACAGGAAGACATTGCAGCAAAGCAAAACCAGATTCTACAACGCCACTACTGCTAAGCAATACATCCCAAATTCGTGGGAACAACGGCCAAGGGTTTAGGGCTTGGAATTTTCTGATTCAATTTCAAGTCTTGGGTTTAAACCTCTGCTGATCAGACTTGAGGGTTTAGGGTTTAGGGTTTAAGACTGTTTAAGGTTTCTCGAAGGTCAGGGTACGCAAGAAAGAAATGGAATCATAGCTTATTATAGAGGTTAATCAGAGTTCCACGGTCAAGGGTTTAGGGTTTAAGACACACGCAATGCATATTTTCCCTGTCCTCATATTTTGGGGTGCTCCCCGTCCTCAAATTTTCATCTCAAGCGATGAACTTCTCTCAAAACAGCAAAACACTCATCGAACGGGACCTCTGTTTAAAGGAGGAAGTAATACGAGATGAACAGATGTTAGGCATTCTATTACGTGCAGGCTGCAATTCTCCCATATCCTCAAGTCCTCGGGAAGGGTGGACATGTTAGCTCATTGATTGATCTAAATAGAGGGAAGAGGGCCTCAGGGGCGATGAGAATCTTTTGCAAACATTTTACCTTTGCTTGTCAACTTGCAGTGGCACTTGCATAGACGATTGAGGAGGTCATCCCTTGACATGACTGTGCGGTTTGCGGACTTGTATATGCTCAGAACCATGTCGAACAAGCGTGGAAGCTCACTCATGGCCATCCGTTGCTTGCGACGCTTAATTGCTATGTCACTGGTATCTTCCGCAATCCGCCGACTCCTATCTTCAACCTGATCCACCAAATCCAAACAATCATTCAAGGTGTCTATTAAAACACGAATCGAACTAGTGTTCTCACCAAGCGATGCAGGTAGGGAATAAACAAATAATGAGGACCCATGCATATTTCACATGCACTGAATTGATCATGCCATCGTAGCTGCAGTAGCTCAGTGAAAGGACCCATGCAAATGCACACACAGCCACAAATCAAATGTACAGAGAACTCGTAAGATTATAGATACATGGCAAAGGCAGTATTGTAGAATAGAGGCAGAGAATTCCAAGAATCAACATACATACCGACTGCAAGAGAGCTCGTGGCAAGCTTCGCATGATGGCAGCCCTGTCATCATCACTTTCATTTCCACTTTGAGATAGTGTCAAACGAGAATCCTCCACTGCAGACCTGGTGCTAACTTCTGAAGATCCATTCGTGGCAATCTTGTGACTGGGCCACAGTGACACATCTGTGGTCTCCGAGACCTTCCATTCTGAACACTCATTCCCTTCCTTCCCCGGCATTGATTGCTTTTCTGAATCTTGCCCAGGACTCGACCCTTCACCCACAGCCGCCACGCCTTCATTCCCTGCCACATTCGCAAACGCAAATGAAAGGCCCCTCCTGCACCTGACTCTGGTCATCATCCCAGTCCCACTCCCAACAGCACAAGCATTGGCACCTGCACTTTGCTCTGCCTCTGCCAATGACGCAAGGTATCCCAAGTTTGGTGGCGCTCTGGCATCCAGGTCTCTGCGCTGACTTTGGGAATATTGCTTTTGCAGTTGTGGCCTCAGATCTGTACTGGTCGTGGAAGTAGCTAAATTTGCTTCAACTAATGACTGCGACCTCGTCCGCACAGATGATGGGGACAAGGCTCGCAGAGAAGGGGATGACCTCGACACAGAGGAGAGACCAGACTCCTGTCCTGCCGGTGAGGAAGTATAGGCAAGGGAAGAGACGGGTAAGGAATCTTGCATCCCTCGCGACTGGGCGAGCCGAGGTAAGGAAGAATCCAAATCGCCCATTTTAGACAATGAGCGCCGCGCACTGCTCTTTACACAAGAGGACTGGTTGTCGACGATTGAGTCCCCCTGTGCTGATATTGACAAAGGCCTTGGAGTTGTCGTGGGCTCGGCAGGACATAAAGGGGGGCTGCATATCGAAGGCGTACAAGGGTAAGACCGCTGAGAGGGAGTTTGTGGTCTTGATCGCGAAGGGGTGTTGTTGGTACTTGAAGGCGGAGCTCTTGGAAGAGGTGCCTGAGGAATATC